AGTCTTTGCGTAGTTTATTTTTAGGAGGGTGTCACGATGCAACAGGTCATTTTGGCTATAAGAAGACAGCAGCAAACTTAACTCAGAGATTATGGTGGCCCTCTATGATGGAAGATGCAAAACAATATGTTGAAACCTGCCAGGTTTGCCAAAGGGACAAACCGAGGACTCAGACTCCGCTTGGGCTCATCAAGCCCTTGCCGATTCCTGAAGGTCCTGGTCAAAGTGTGTCCATGGACTTCATGGATACCCTTGTGAGCAGTAAGTCTGGAAAGAGACACATCTTCGTAATAGTGGGCCATTTTACGAAGTATGCAAGACTAATCGCTACGCCAGAAACAACTAAAACTGACCATGTCATCAAACTGTTTATGGACAATTGGGTTCGTGATTTCGGGTTGCCTACGTCTATCGTTAGTGATAGGGATGTCAGGTTCACAAGTGAATTGTGGCAGTCAACTGCAGAGAAAATGGGCACAAAGCTCCAAATGACGTCAGGGAATCACCCTGAGTCAAATGGCCAAGCAGAACAGATGAACCGGGTAGTGCAGCACTTGCTTAGGCATTATATTAAGCCAAGCCAGGATGACTAGGACGAGAAGTTACCTCTCGTCGCCAACCTGTACAACAATGTTGTGCACAGCACCACCGGTATGACTCCCAACCAGTTACATCTTGGTTGGAAGCCCAGATCTGCGCTTGACTTTCTGTTACCAGAAAGGTAACCTACTGCAGCACCTGGCAGCATAGAGTTTGCTGTCAAGTATGAACAGATGCTGCAGCAGGCCGTAGGACACATTCAGAAGTCTCAAGATGCTATGATTGCATCTGAGAACAAACATAGACGGCCTTCTAACTTTCAGGTAGGTGAGAGAGTCAGGGTAAAATCATCTGAACTGGGACAAGAGATACGGATCTCAAGAAAGTTGATGTCTCAGTACTTCGGGCCCTGGGAGATCTTAGATATTGTAGGAGATCAACCTGATGGGCCTTGATACGTGATTCGCATCCCTGCACACCTACGGACTTATCTTGTTTTCCATGCCTCCAAGCTGGCACCTTTTGCTGCCACAGATCTGTTTCCCTCTCGGAGATCTATGCTGGCCCCAAACCTGGATGGCGAAGTGGACATTGACCAGATCGTCGAGCATCGGATGATGCCTGTTCCTCGACCATCAGGCAGAGGGCGACCTCCTAAACCAAGAATGGAATATCGGGTGCGCTTCAGACATCACCTCGATCCCAAGGAAGATCGCTGGTTCACACGAGAAGAACTCATGAAAACAGCACCTCAAGTGATTGCAGGCTATGAAAGAGAACGGAAAGGAAAGATGCCTGCAGAATAAGAAGACTTCTCAGAGGACTCACGAAGTTAAGGAGGAGGGAATGCGAGGATCAGGGTCCTCGGTGGCCTATGGGGCCCTGTCTGCAGCCTTACCCGCCCTAAGTGAAGGCAGAGGTGCCCGCCCTAAGTGAAGGCGGAGGTGCCCGCCCTAAGTGAAGGCGGGCCTGGCTTTTGCAAAAGGGCCTTCGACTGTCAATTTCGTATTTGGGGTTCAGGCACTTGCGACGCGCCAGTTGGTTGAAAGAAACACAGGCCGAGCAACAAGGACATTTCCACGGCCTACCGGGCCTTTCCAAAGAATGCAGGCCCTGGCCGTGATACGCAGCCTCATACAAAGACAGTTGGGCGCCCAACCGAACGAGGCCCAGCAGCCCAGTAGCTGCTGCATCCAGGCAGCCTCCTGGGGCCTTCCGGAAGCTTCTGGGCCCAGGCCAAGGCAGCCAAGCTGCGTGAGCAGGCCAACTCTTTCCATAAAGGAAAGAGCTCGGCCCTGGCTGCCTCATTCAGGCACTCGCATGCTGGGCGGCAGCGCAGCTGGAGCTTATGCTCGTAGGCTGCTGCTAGCGCTGGGAGGCGAGGTGCAGCACGTGCGGTCGTGCAGAGGAGGAGGGCGCTGCTGAGGCAGCGCCATAGCCCAGCCACCATAGCTGGTGGGCTTGGACTACAGTGAGGCGCAGGGGTGGTCTTCGGGTGACAGAGAGGACAGGTGTGGGTGAAGTCAAGGGATAGGTGAAGGATGATGATGATGATGATGATGATGTGAGGGCACGTACCTTGTATTGGTGATGGTCTGCATGGGCGGCATCTTCAAGTACTTTGGGCTGCTGCTGATGTCAACAGTTGCATTGTCTTTTTGTAGTCTGTAGTAGCTGTGTAGGAGTAGGCTGGGCGCTGMGCGCCAAGTGTGAGTGTAAGGGAACTGGACTCTTTTGTTGAGAGGAGAGAGTGTGCTCTCCACGGACATTGGTTTTCAGTGCTACGAAACTCCATTGGTGTATTATTGGTGCAATCCTGCTATCTGGACACGGAGTGACTATTTGGCTTGCAATGTGATGGTGTGATCTGGGATTGTCATCTCGCTGTTGCTTATTCTCCTTGCAAATTGATAGATTCAATACGGAATTCTGGACCATTTAGGGCATACTCATGGTGACATTTTTTCAACTGAGCTATGGACATGATTGTGGTCAGATGCAACGACGCAGGGCTGTAATTGCGGTCAGATACATCTACGGGAGTCCTAGTGTGAGTATGCCCATAAACAAGGCTCAGCGAATTTCGGCACAGGCTTCAAATTCACTTTTCTTCCGGTGGCCCTGCCAGCCTTCTCGGTTCGATAGGACGAGGCCCTACCAAACCGAAACGTGTAGTCGAACAGATCTATAGACCATCTTAATCGTGCAGCTCTCAATTCCATAGATTAAAGATCTTTTTAATCATAATAGCTCTGGGTTGTGGACCATTTTAATTAATTAAACAAATAGATCTCGACCGTGTAATCAATAGATCCGGAATTTCTGGACTGATAAACCAGATAAAAGGACAATTCTTCTGGAACAAAAAAAAAAAAAAAAAAAGGACAACTTCATGTTGGGGGTAGGTACATTGAAATCTAGCCTGGACCACACCCATGTGTCAGAAAATGAAGCGATCCACGTGTGCATTTTTGTGTGGGAGAGAGGGAGGGAGGGAGGGAGGGAAAATGAGATGGGACTGTTGGGAACATTATGACAAAAAGAAAAAAAAAAGAGGAGAAACTCAGAAAAGTTTAAGAAGATTTAAAAGGACATCAGAAGAAAATGTCCGCTTTCAAAAAGGTGGACACACATAGTAACCAACTAGGCTACCATGCAATCAGACTCGTTCTCATTCACACTTTTCATGCATGTAAACAGTAGCGCAGCGAACTGGCGACATGCGCCCACACAAAACTCAGAGATATGTCATCCAGATACGAGTTCACTTTCAACTGGCTATGACGACTCAGCGCCCAAACAACTCACTGTTCACATACACCGGATCACCCTGGATATCCCACACGCGTCAATCTGAACACTCACTCATACACACACACACTTCACACTAAACTACAGCTATGGCAGCTATGGCTGGCTCTACCCTATCGCTATGCTACGCTCCTCTCTCGCCCACTTCAGCTCCGGGCTCTCTGCAGACCTCCTTGCACAAGTCGCTGTGGCAGCACTTCCGCATGGCTCACACAGGAATGAATGAATGGCTGGGCGCTGCTTCTTGATTTATACTTCTGAAACTCGTTCGTCTGCCCTTTGCCATCGGCCCATGGTGCTCACAGTCCCTCATGGTACTTGCTGGACCGGACTGGGACTGACTGGATCTGACCGCTGACTGAACAGGGACTCGCTGCTATCCCACCGGGGTCGTACTGCAATCGCACTGCGGTTTAGTCCACCACTGGGCTCACCACTTGGCCACTTGCCCACTTGCCGACCTTCTAGAAGCCTACAGCTAAGACTTCTGGACTTCGCCAAGACTTCTATTTGACAGACCTATAGATCGAACCCCTACGACCTCCGGACCTAGGACAGCCTACCAACTGTTTATGAATACACAGGTCACAGGTTCAACTCTCGGGGTTTACATAGGTACTGTACACGAGTAGGGTGAGGTCTAGGGATCGAACCCTGGGATCTGCATCTGCTACTGCAAAGAGGTGAAAACCGTTTCAACCAGACTGGTCTGGGACGACCTGCCCGGCCCAGCCATTTTTCTTTTAATTAATTATATTTTTTATTTTTTATTTGGTAAAACGATTTCGTTGTGACCCTGAGGCAAAAGTTGTTGCAGTTTTTTTTTCGGATTTTTTGGACTTCTTTTTTTGCTGGGACCTCCCCTGGCCCTTGCACGCCTACGGCCTTCACCCGAAAATAACGCCCGGGAGTTAGATTCAATGTACCGTAAAGAAAAACAGATTTTTGTTTCTACTCACTTATTTCGAATATAATGCCCCTTCGAATATGACGCCCGGGTGTTATACTCGAATAGAAAGCCCAGGCGTTATATTTGAATGTCCCGTGGGGAGAGTGCCTTGTAGAGGGAGATTACATGGGTTTAGGGGGGGAAGGGGCGTATACATGGGGTTGAAAGGGGTTTCGATTTGCAAGGGGTATGTTACAATGTTTTGGAACTTTTGGTTTGATTTTTTGTTGTCTTTTTTTATTTCCGAATTTACAAGGAATTCTAAGGTGGCCCTCAGCCAAAAGTTGGTGGCATTGCAATTCTAGACAACATTTTTTTTAACATAATTTTTGGCTTTTAAAATCATTTTTTATTTTTATTTATAATTTTGGGGCCCCACCAAAGTTGCCACCAATTTACTGAATATAACGCCTGGGCGTCATAAACGAATATCACGCCCGCTGGGCGCTATATTAGTATATAACCGCCGGGCGTTATTTTCGGGTGAAGACGGTATGCCGCCCTGGCAACCAAGGTGACCCGGGCAGCTCGGCTGGTAGCCAGGTAACCCGGAAAAAAAAAAAAGGGACACTCCGACACAGTAAGTGAGTTATCTGAGTAACATACTGTCCCGAGTTCACTTCTCGGAATGCGTCCCCTCCCCCGCCCCCTCCACAAAAAAAAAAAAAAAAMAAAAAAAAACAACAACTTAGTAACATACCGTTGCTGCGTTTGCTTGACCGGCATTGATGAGAACTGCTTTGGCCTGGACCACATCCACGTGTCACAAAAACGGAACCCATCTGTGTCAGAAAATTGAACCCATCCACGTGTCAGAAAATTGAACCCATCCCCCCCCAAAAAAAAAGAAAAGAGAGCCATCCACGTGGCAGAAAATTGGACACTTTCAAAAGAAAAAAAGGAAAAAAAAAACATCCACGAGTAATGACCCGTCAAAACACAGACTGAGAACACTGCTGATTTCTGAGTTTTGCCGTCGGAATGAATGCCTTGCTGAGATTCCCGCATTCTGCTGAGTTTCTAAGTCTGTGTGTGTGTGTGTGCATGCTTGCTGGTTGTGTGCCTGCCTGAGTGCTTGTCGGTCTGAGTGTGTGTGTGACCCGCAAGTGCACTTGTTTGTTTGGAGGCCCTGCAGGGCCGGTACTTACCTGTGGCAGTGACTTTGAGGGTTGCAGCAGGGAAAACACTCAAGAGGCGGGGAAAGAGGCCCGCGACACTTAAGAGCAGTGGGGAAAAACACTCAAGTAGCAGGGAGGCCGGTACCACTCAAGCAGCGGTGGATGTGTCGGGGGACTGGAGGCCGAGCAGAGGAAGACAAAAAGTTGGCATTTTTAGAGGCCCAGTAGCTGGTAGGCTAAGTCTAGACGGTACCAGTTCAAGTAGCCTGAGTCTAGGGCCTGTGCGGACGATATCAGAGCCTGTAATCATGTTTCCCTCCGAAAGGGAGGAGGTACTGGTTGCTTGGCGGCCGCGCGGCCTGGAAGGCACCGCCCAAGAGGCAGTTAGGCGCTATATCTTCGGGCAGAGCGCTGGGCTCGACCTCATTTGCGGTATGCAAGGTTGGGTGACAAGCTGCTTGAGCGGGTGCTAGCATTCAAAGCGCCGCTGGAAGGAAGAGCGCTGGGCAGACCAGCGCTGGGAGGAGGAAGAAGGCTGGGAGCTTCCACCCCGGCTATGGTGGAGCTCTACCGGTAGGAGGAGGAGGAGGAAGGGGACTAGGGAGGAGAGTGGTGAGGTACCTACCTGACTATGGTGGACACCGTCTTCATCGCCTTGTTAGGCAATGCATCTGGAAGGCCCCAGTGGGGGTTGCGCCGCACCAAGAAGGCTTCGAGGCAGAGTCAGGCATGGCGTCCTGAGCAGCAGCGGACATAGCTGCTTTGCATCGTCTTTTGCACAGCAGGGCTAGGCCCTTACTAGTCCGCCATAGCCTCGGCCTGACTGAAGAGGAGGAAGAAGGAGCCCATGGCTATGGTGGACCTCTAGTTATGCCAAGCAGTAGAAGTGAGATTCGGACTTTGATTCTGGTTCAGCCATTCATCATCATTGTTATTTTATTATTATTATTATTATTATTATTATTATTATTATTATTATTATTTATTGTTTGAACAAGAGAGGAGGCGATAAGGAGGTTGAGATGGTTGGCGAGAGAAGGAGGGATTGTCCTTGGTCTTTTGCTGTTGTACATCTTCTTCTTCTTCTTCTTCTTCTTCTTCTTCTTCTTCTTCTTTATCTCTCCCTCCTCTCAAGTTCATTCATTTCTTTTGCAATTGGTCGGCATTCTGGGCATAGTGCTTTCTCATGAATTTTGCACTTCGAAATTGGCCAGGATCGTAACACGTGTCAGAAAACTGAACCCCTCCAAAAAAAAAAAAAAAAAAAAAAAAAAAAAAAACCATTTAAGTGTCAGAAAATTGAACCCATCCGAAAGCTTAAAAAAGGGAACCCATCCACATGTCAGAAAATTGAGCCCATCTGAGAAAGGGAAAAAAAAAAATCCATCCATGTGTCAGAAAATCGAGCTCATAAAAAAAAAAAAAAAAAGAGAGAAGAAGTTGAAGAACCCATCCAAGTGTTAGAAAATTGAATCCCTGTACCTTCTCTTCTTCTTTTTTCCCCCAATTTGGACCATCTCTCAAATTTATACTCGCCATGCTTTCGCAGGCTCCATGCTAATTCATAATTGCCCTTCTCTGCGTCGCTCCGATTTTAATGGATGAATGAATTTTCATCTCAAAAAGTCATTTTTCGCCAAATTTTTGCTAAATTGCTGCTCAGTTCCGTGCTAATCAAACACAAAGAAATCGTTTGTTTTCTTTTTACTAAGTTTTAGTCTTCAAATTTTTTTCACTCAGCTCTTTCAATGCATTTGATTGATGATGTTTAGTCTTCAAATTTTTTACTCAGCTCTTTAAATGCACTTGATTGACGATTTTTGGGTGAGGACGGCGCCCGGCCGGGCGACGCCGGGGGGGCCGCCCGGGCAACCCGGGCGGGCCGAAAAACACCCGAGAATTTTTTTTTTTTTTTTCTGAAGGTGGGGTCTTTCTGCGCTCGGCGAGAGGACCTTGAATCTGCAATAAAAT